GGGGAGTCAGAAGAGACGGATGACGGTTGAGAAGATTAAGAGAGATTGTGCGAGGGCAGTTCGGTTGAGAGTGTTGCGAAGGCTATTCGGGATGATAATGTTGCTCAGACTGTTCAGGTTGAGAGGGTGGCTGGGTCTCGTTGAAATCGTCGGGCGGTGGAGAGGATGGAGGATCTTGAGTATAGATGTCGGCGGATGATGAAGAATTTTGCGTACAATTTTCGTCGGTGGATGTTGGAGGATTTTGCCAACAATTTTCGTTGATGGATGATTTTGGCGGCAGGAGAACAGAGGCGAGAGGGAAGTTTTCGTCTATTTCTCCGTCAATATTTACATCTTGGCTTTCGTCAGTGTGAGTGCCATGAATTGTTGGGGACACCCAGGAGTATTCGCAGTTCACACCAAAGTGACCTTCCTGCTTACAAATACAGCACAATAAGGGGCGTGAGCAATCACGGGCTTCGTGGCCATGACCTTCGCAATTGAAGCAAATTTTGTTTGTGCAAGCGTTGCTGAAATGGTCTGGACGATTGCATTTTCGGTAGGTTGGGTTCTGACCGTTGTATTAAATAGAAATTTGGTACTTCCCAAAACGAAGAAAGCTGGGAATGGGCTTAATGATACGGACTCTGTAATGTCGGAGACCATTATAAATGTTGGGCGCGTACAAGTGTTTTCCTCGGCGATAATGAATGACTTCACAGTAGGGCGTAAGGCGTTTAATTATTGCAAGTTCAGACAGTTCGAAAGGAGTGTCGTAGATAGTTAGGAAAGTGAGTGGTTTTTCGATATCTTGAAAGGAAAAAGGTTCGGAATCAATGTTGAGAGAATTTACGCGTAGGAACTGTTCTTTGGCGGCAATAGATTTGAAGGTGACCACAACCTTCACCGCTGAGTTTACGTTGTAAACACTGAATGTCGGTCGGAGAGACATTACTTTCGGCAAAAGCATCAAACACAGCACGGGCCTGTTTCTGTCGTTCAAGCGGGCCACCACAGCACCCAACTAATTGATCGACAGCCAGCACTACGAACATGGCATAAGGAAAATACTGACCGCCTTTCATTCACCCTCACAACCACGTCAGACGCACACTCCCTCGTTTTTATTCTTCAAATGATTTTATTCAAGTACATACTCGTGTTTGCTTGAGTAAGTAGTTGCTTCGACCCAAGTTTTTATCCAGATGAACACACAGCAATAACGCAACAGACGCTTGAAAATTTATGAGATACGTCAACTCCATTAACAAAAAAATCCACGCGTAACATGAATCCGCGCTACCTCAGTGAGGCTTTTCAAATGGAGCATATGTTTCCCTCCGTTATCATACTAGCCCACAAAGTACTTCAAGATACTTCAAAAAAGAGTGGGAGACCGAAGCAGGATATTTGCCATAAATGTGCGCATGTTTGGTTGTTCTTCATAGCCCTATCGGGCTTCACGAACAACCATCATGAAGTTGTTACTCCTCCTTGCTCTCCGCGCGGTCGTAATCGTCCAGGGTCTCAAAGGTGAGCATAATCGGATCTGCCATTTTTCTTAACGTTTTGCTTTTGATTTCGTTGTCAATGTACGTGCATGGGATTTTTATCAGTTCGCATTTAATACAAAGTTTTGTAAACTTGCCTTTCGTAAGGTTGTAACTTGTGTACCTCGACTTACCTCTTAAAGGGATTGAGGGGGCATTTGGGTCAATCTTCCGAACTTAAGAGCTCAGTTCATGTTTGTGCGAAAAACTGAAGTTTAGGAGCTAAAGGCATCGCCATTTTTCGGTATTGTCATTCGTTCCTGATGAATTGAAATATTTTATTAACACATTAGATCATTATGTCAGTTCACTTTTCTTTGAAGTCTACTAGATCCTATGCATCAAACTGACTGCTTGCAGAGATCCTCGCTTGAACATGGGAACAATATAAACAAAACTCAAGGCAGCGATTGATATCGCCGAAGGATTTTAATTTTTGCATTCAAGAAATGTAGCACACCGCGACTTGAAACCGGGGAATGTCTATTTCAGGAGCCATATATGGTCGGTTTTGTCCCGCGCTCAACGTTCTGGGCGTGAACCAAGGTTCTACGGTGGCCCACAACTGTCACGGCGAAAAGAAATCGCTCACGGTGAAAAGAAGTTGCTCGCTGCAAGAAGAAATTACTCACGAAAAAAAAAATTGCTTACGGCGAAAAGAAATTACTCACGGCGAAAATAAATTTCTCAAGGCGAAAAGAAATTTCTCACGGCGGAAAAAAATTCCTCACGCCACGATGGAGCACGATGTTTTGCAGCACCTGCGAGCAGTGTTTTTGGAATGAAGACAAGTTTTGCTCTCAATGCTTCAAAGGTATGGGATTTGAACCTACTAATTGTAAAGACAGACTTTTACACAATGGTCTTTAAAGACTGATGTTTGCTTGTGCACTGTGAGGTATCATGTATTGAATAGACGTACAGGAGAAAGGCCCTACGTCAAATATGGGAAAACTCAGGGAGGAATTCAAGAACTTCAGATTTTTAAGCAACCGCTAGCGTTGCCTTAGCAACACAAATCAAAGTACCTTTATGACAAATTGATCGTTTTAATCTATCTTATCGGTTTGAAATTTGTTATTGATCCCACGACTCATTTTACTTTAGTTAATTCGCTCCCAAATGCGGTGCTCAGGAAAAGAGGAAAAAACCTTTTGAACCTCTTAATAAAACATCAGCTAGGCAGGCTCCCTTTCAAAACCCAAGAACTGAGATCTTTAAAACCCTCCACAATCTTTACTTCATTCCGTAAACACTGCTCGCAGGTGCTGCAAAACATCGTGCTCCAAAATGGCGTGTTGCATGATGCGATCCGAGCCAACAACTCGAACCAATCCTCCCCACCCAGGCGTTTTTGAGTTTTCTTTTTCGCCGTGAGTAATTTCTTTTCACCGTGAGTAATTTCTTCTTGTAGTGAGAAATTTCTTTTCGCCTTGAGTAATTCTTTTTTCCGTGAGCAATTTATTTTCACCGTAAGCGATTTCTATTCGCCGTGACAGTTGTGGGCCACCGCAAAGTGCTCTTCGAAATGTCTAAAACAAATTTTTCGAGGTTTGCGTTTTCGAGGTCTGCGTTTTCGAGGTCTGCGTTTTCGAGGTCTGCGTTTTAGAGGTCTGCGTTTTAGAGGTCTGCTTTTAAGAGGTCTGCGTTTTAGAGGTCTGCGTTTTAGAGGACTGCGTTTTAGAGGTCTGCGTTTTAGAGGTCTGCGTTTTAGAGAGTTCTGCGTTTTAGAGGTCTTCGTTTTCGAGGTCTGCGTTTTCGATGTCTCTGGTTTGCGGTATGCATTATCGAATTCTGTTTTCTCGAGAAACCCGAGGGAAGAAGAAGCCGGAGCTTTGTCCGATTGTAGCAAAAATGATTTTATAAAGTAAACGTATAACTATAAACGTCAAAATTGAGATAGCGCCTGTGAATTCTATATGCTGCTAAGTCAAGGGCTAATGACCGGAAATTCCGTGATCTCGTCTGATGACATCAATGACAAAGGAAGATAGATAAATAACAACAACAACAACAACAATTTATCACTTATAGAGCGCTATTTACAATGACAGATCAACAGCGCTTTACAATCAATCCTAACCCGCCCATGCCACCCAGGGGAGGACACCATCACACAGTAATCTCGTGCGTGGGAAATTAACGTCTTCTACCCCTAACCCTGTAGGAGACGGGACCTCCATTTATTCGTCCCTATCCGAGAAGACTAGAATATCTAACCATTTCTTGATGTTATAGAAAGGTAGCATATTCTTCTCAATTATTTTAAGACCTTGAGTGTTGGTCCGGCCGGGGCTCGAACCCTCGACCTCCCGCACAACAGTCCAGCGCTCTATCCATTGAGCTAACCGGGAGGCGGTTAGCTCAATGGATAGAGTACGGTTACGTACAACGGTTACGTACAAGAGCACTACCTTACATCCGGTAATTTCAACTTNGATATTTTCAGTTAAAATTTAAGTTCAGTGTTTACGTGGCAGTTTCGCTTTCGTATGACAAAAATATAAGAAACGCCGTGGCCCAGCGCAAAAAATTTTGATGTACAAAAAGTCAGTCGAAAACCGATAAAAATGATTTGTACGATTGAGTAAAAGCTCCATTTACCAGTAGTGTGTACTATTACAACCACCTCCCACTCTCCCTGAGTAATAGCACTTTGCCTCCCACCTCTCCCTCAGTAATTATAGACTGCACCTACCCCTCCCTGGGTATTAATGGTGTGCTTCCCTCCTTTAAAAATGGTACCAAAAATGTTCCAAAAAATGTTCCAAAAAATGTTCCAAAAAATGTTCCAAAAAATGTTCCAAAAAATGTTCCAAAAAATGTTCCAAAAAATGGTCCAAAATATAGTTGAGCCCAGTCAACATTTTTCCCCATGCCGGAGTAATTAGGTATTACATAATTTACACATGCACACCGGATAATGTAGAATAGGTTAAAACAAAGAATGAATAGCCCATTTTCGATATATTAAAAATCAAAATTGGCTCCAAGGCTTGGCGGAATAAAACGAAAGAAATCACATCGAAGTTGAGGGATGAATCATGATTGATTTCCTTTGTCTTATTCCCCAAGCCTCGGAGACATGTTAAATTTATAATGTATCGAAAATAGCCGATTGAAGGGAGTCATCGAAATTTATTTAGCGTAATTCTTGTGCGGTCAAGTGAGCCAGATTTCCATGGTACACCCAACTTAACTATGAAAAAAACAAATCTAAAACTGCACGAATTAAGAAAATATGATTAACAAGAATTTCAGCTCGTGACATCGTCGCACATCCGCTATCTCAGACGTTTAATTTACGTGATCAGCATGAATTAACGATTCAATTTCAAGAGGTTTGAATGGGTAATGAGCGTCAAAAGCTATAGTGTCGCCTATAATATCGCTTATCATTGCAATGAAATTACGGTACTCTCGCTCTCTCACTGACCCTTCACTGTCTAATATTCATTCTGTGGGATGATGGGTAATTCAGCGAGGATCCCTGCTTTGCCTGGTTCAGCTGGTGATTTAATAGTTTTCCACAGAGGCTTGTACAAGCACTATGCAGTCAATGTAGGAAATGGAGAAATTGTCCACGTAACGTCTTCTGATCTGACTATTGACGCTTGCAAAGGTAAAGAATGTTCAACCTTCTACAAAGCCGTCATAAAGAAAGAAAAGTTTGAAGATTTCGTCAAAGCAGGAGATGAAGTGTCTGTAGAAACACGTGGAGAGAAACCATTTTCCCCTGAGGAGATTGTAAGAAGGGCTAATTCCAGTCTTGGTCCAATGAATTATAACTTATTCTGGGGGAACTGTGAGCATTTTGTTCGTTGGTGCTGTTATGGTGAATAGCATAGCGAACAAGTCGATATTGCGTGGAGGACGATTCTCATAGGAGGTGTCCTTATTTGGATATTTTAATATCCAATTTACCAGGTTGGTAATTACCAACCGAGTAGGAGAAGGTCTGAGAACTGCATCAGTGTTGAGGATGGAATGGCTTTTTGGTTCATGAATTTTTCTTTAATTGTTACGTTGATATTTGAATTATAGATTGCATCAGTTTGACAATGTTTATTATTCAATACTCACTCAGTACTTGCGTTTTACTTTGTGTGTAGGTTACTGTTATTCGACCTGACGGTTTTTTAAGGAGGTGTTATTGCATCAGATACTTGAAAGCGCTGATCTCAAAAGAGATTTTAGAGTAATTACAAGATGAAAACGGAGACTATGTAATTCCGAGAAAACTTATCATTAGAAACAAAAAAGCATCTCTTTAGTCTCACACGATGATCTGAACTTGACTAAGCTTTACGATGTGTTCACAATGTAATTATTAGATAGATAGATAGATAGATAGATAGAAACTTTATTTGAGTGTCAGGAAAATTAGCTAGCCGAGGGGGCAAGCCCTCTACTAATACGGGACACCTACAATTGATAGAATAAAATAATTACTAAGTACAATTCATTAAATATAATACAATAGTTAGCTAAAATACTAGATGCTCAATGCAAAAATGCTAAAATTATTATTATAAAATATAATTATTATTTTTATCTCTGATGAGACATCAACTATTACACAGATAACATCCTCTGCATCCATCATCAAGAATACATGTCAAATCCCTATTACGCATTCGGTTTCTAAAATCACTTAATGATTCACATGTTTTATCACTTTTGTCCAGCTTACTCCACAGAATAGGACCTAAATATCGAAGGGAATGCTTACCAAATGAAACTGTGTGCTTACTAAATGAAACTGCGGTTCGTAAGTAGAGGAAAATTACTTGATCGTACGCGGAGTAAGGTATTCCATTATTTAGATATATGTCGAATGGGTTAAATCAAAGAATGAATTGAAGTCCATTTTCGTGGACAAAAAAATAATAATTGCTTGTCAGAAAATTGTCATCCAAATTGGATTCACACACTTGAGATTATGGTTGATGAAGGAAAGAGTTCGTTTGTCGAGGAGAGTCTTGAAAAGAGCAATTAGTCAGCAGCTCCATGTGACAATCTTCGCATTTGAGACACTCACAGGAGGAGAATTTTCCTACTTGATTAGATTTCGCGTTTGAGGAAATGACCAAAATCTTTTACTTTTCAATAAGCTGTGAGTCTGTCTGACTTATATACTAGGTGTACAAAGTGTGTGTGGGAAATTTTCGTATTGATGCTTTAGCGACCTTAGAAATGTTATCAGAAATTTATTACCAGTCAAGACATGTATCTTGGCAGCATTGAATCTCTGGGATATGAAAAACTCGTTGTGCAAATAACTTTCTAAATAATTTTGTAAGTTTTTTCATGAAAAACATCTTAATTACTTGTAACAAGCATAAGCTCTATCATTCAAGACACTCATTATGAATTAAGCATAAACTAGACTAAGTCCTAAAATTTGTCTTCCCTTCTCTTCTCCTAACCTATACATGTATACAGCGCACACCTCAATGAGAGGGCATAGAGACACCAGAAAAAGTTTAATCCCAACCCAGAGCACACATAATACAATACATATCAAGATATATTTTTCAACTGTAATATCGTTTTAGATTGTATTTACCTCCCTCCTTATAGAAAGGAGAAAGGTTGGTCTCCTGGGAGCAGACAGTTAGTAATTTCCCCTTAGACCTTTGTGTATATAAAAGAAATATATTGTGATAAATATATACTTTACTTTGAATAATCAAAACTTTGTAATTAGTGGATGGAAATACAACTAGGAAAAGAAATAAATCAGTGTTATAATGAAACTTCCTCTAGATTTCTAGTGCACTTCTTGACATGATTAAGTTTTAGCTTGCTGGCTGAGTATTTGTATCTTGCAGGATATCCTGTGCAGTATGTTATAAGTTATCGTAGTTAAAAATATCTTGCAACAGTGTACATGAATCTTGAAGATCTTGTGATTTTAACAACTTGCAGCAAGTTTTATCCTCTTTTTTTTTTTCTACTTTTCCTACCGTCATGAAAGTAGGTCTCCTATTAGAAGTTATATTTGCTTAGTTAACCCTGTGTTAATTACATTATTATTGCTTAGTTAGAACCCTATTGATTAACTACTGCATCCAAATAGCAATTGCTATGCAAAAATATTTTTTTAGAAGAAAATCACTAAAAGATTTTTATTAGACCTCACTGTTTTGTAAATCTACACAAACTGTCCTTGCAACTTTCCTTGCATATTTTTTCTTTCCTTTTCTTTGCTTTTCGTTTAATATCATTGGTTGGTATAAATAACTTTTTGTAGTTGCAATTTAGAAATTTAACTCTTTCGAGGCTTATCATCATGATAAAGAATGTTCATCAAAAATCCTCACATATTTTGGGCAAAATTGTTGAGTTTCCCTCGCACGTTCTCTGGAAGTTTGTTAAAGATCTTGGAAGATCCTTGAAGATCTTAGCAACAGAACAGAAGATCCTTGATGACTCTGCAAGAAAATAAGAGATCCTTTAAGATCTTTGCAAGAAGATAAGAGATCCTTCAAGATCTTGGTAGATCTTGTTCAGAATTTTAGTTATCTTCAATGTTCCAACCCAGATCTTTGAGGATTGTTGTCCAAATTCTTGTCAAAATCCAATAAAGATCTTTGAGAATCTTCATAAGTGTTGCAAGAAAATCCTCATAGATTGCTCAAAGATCTTCATGAAGATCCTGTGGAGGATCCTCAAAGGTACTCATGAAGATCTTTAAAGGTACTTAGAGGTCCTCCAAAGATTTTCATGAGAGTGCGTTCCATGCAAATTTGGATATACCCAATTCACTTGGGTTTCAGGTATCCCCTTCTCCTTTCAGCACTGTTTGAAAAAGTACTCGTTGTATAATGACCCCCTATGGACAGGATGATTATGATTGTGATCTACTATGTACCATAGGAACAGCCAAAATTTTCTATAACAGAAGGGATACCTATATATTACTAATGATAAGAGTGTCCCCTTTCAAATTTAAATTGAGCTTGAGAGTGGAAAAACTATGGGGCCTTTTTATCTTCCATTTACGTGATTGTAATTTACTGTATGTTATAATTAGAAATGAATTGCATTCAAACTTAACATAGGAATGGGTACCCAATTCACTATGAATTTAGGTGTTCCGTTCTCTTTTAAAGTGCATTGTACTTAATAACATTACTGATACAGTGTACAACATGGACTTTGACATACAACAGGTTTTATATTATAATTTAATAAATGAAGAGTGCTTCCTTTCTTGAAGGTACTTTACTGCTTCCTTGTCAATCCATCTTTTAATTTATGTTATCATCAATATTACGAACTTGGGAACTCCGATTTTAGGCTGGCTAAATCTATATATTAGTCAGATTGGATGCAGCTTGGAAATCTGGTTCACTTGACCGCAAATTAAATAATAAATAAATTTCGATGACTGTCTTCAATTCATTCTTTGTTTTAGCACATTCTACACCTACGCGATGCACATATCTAAATCATGGAATACCTTACTCCACGTCTTATCATCAAGTTATTCAGTCTCCCTCTACAAAATTGCGAAAAAAAAAAAGAAGAAAGAAACATACGCACACAGCGCAAATACTTACATTTTGAGCACAACGCAAGACAAAAGAAATGCTTGTTTGTTTTTAATGATACGTTTACTCGGATTTACATAGTTTTTTACCTTGTAAATGCTCTAAAGTCTCTTTCTAGATAAATATTTTGTAGCATCTGATGCAATATCTCACTCTTAATTAAGAAAGCCTCAGGTGGAATAACAGCACCATACACATAAGGTAAAACGAAACTAATAAGCGAGTATTGAATAATAAACATAATCAAATTGATGCAATCTATGACTCAAGCATTAAGGTAACAAATGAAGAGAAATTAACTAACCAAAAATAATTCGATCCTCAACACTGATGCAGTTCTCAGACTCTCCTCTCTCTGGTTGCTAATTTCCAAAGAATAAAAAGACCGCTGCTAGTAGCCGTAGCCCAAGTAAAATTATCGCCTTGTATGCTTATCGCTTCACCACAACAACACCAGCGAGCAAAATGCTCACAGTTATTCCAGATGAAGTTATAATTCGTTCGACCAACTTTGGAATTGGCCCTTTCTACAATCACTTCGGAGGGAAATGCTTTCTCCGCATGTGTTTCTACATACACTTGATTCCCTGGCTTAGCGTAATCTTTGTATTTTTCTTTCCTTATGACGGCTTTGTCGAAGGTTGAACAAACGGAACTTCTCTCAAATTTCCATGCTTCATCAGACTTAGCGTCCGCGGAAGTCAGCTCGTTAAAATCAGAAGACGTTACGTGGACGATGTATCCATTTCCTACATTGACTGCATAGTGCTTGTACAAGCCTCTGTGGAAAACTATCAAATCACCAGCTGAACCAGGCAAAGGAGGGATCCCTTAACTAGCCATCTTCCTGCAAGAGAGTGACTACCGTACCTTCAATTCAACAATAACAATATTATGGGCGAGACTATATCTTTTGACGCTCATTATCCATTCAAATCTCTTGAATTTGAATTGTTAATCCATGCTAATCTCGTGAATTGACCGTTTGTCGGTTATCAAGCAGCCTGTTACCAAGTCCTGTGGTCTCCTTGGCAGCTTTAAAAAAATAGTAACATCCAATTATTATCCAACTACTCTCCGTTGAGTAGAAATAACGCCATGGATGAGTGCAAATATCACGCGGTATTTGTACTCCAGAGAACCAGTTAGGCAGGTTTTCTGGCATCGCGAAAGCGAAGAATTGGAAAAAATGGCGGATAATTTGAAACATATTTCCAAAGACGAAAAGTCGGAATGGCTGGCAAATATAGATCCAAGTCTATTAGATTGATCGAACGAAGAATAACAGTCAGACAACTAGGAAATTTCTTCATTCATTGAAGAAAGTAGAAACAGCAACACGACAACGCGCCAATTCCGTTCCGCTTCGCATACTTCTGTCACGCACTCCCAGTAAATGAAATATCCGCGAAATTCGCCCGCACTGAAATAACAATTTGGCGTGTTGGATAACAAATAACTTATTAGACGTTTTGTTGTGCAGTATCGCTGAGTATTTTTACTCGTTATTTGTATTTTGACTCGCCCTAAGGGCTTCTAAAGTACTCAGCGATACTACGCAACAAAACTTCTAATATGTTTGTATTTGAGCGATTCAAGTTTTTAATCCGATATTGCAACGGTTCTATTGTTTTTACTCCGACTTTTAAGAGTGTGTCTCTGTAAAAGCGGTCCGGTCAATTTTGCTTGAGACACAGATTTCCCTCATTTCTTGTGGGTTGTAAGACATTCATGTGCCTATACTAAAACCACAATCCGTTTGATGGGATCTCTTTATTTTTCAAAGTTTTACGGAAATGAAATTTCACTCGAGCGAAGGCCTGTCGTGACACTTTTCAAGACTTTAATTTGAGACAACTTTGGAGGACAATTTAAAAAAAAACTACGGAACTCAGCAAAAAACAAATACCACAGCCACGTATATTAATTCTATCTTATCCATCGAGGCGACTTTCGTGAACATCACATTTCAATCAAAGAAACAGGAAGACTTGAATGACACCTTATCGGTTCGCTTAAGTCACACACGCGAAAACCAATAAAATTTAAGGTAAATTTTTGAAAAAGTGAGGCGTTCTTAACTGATCCAACTAACATAGTTAGGAAGTAGATGCCATAGAAAAGGTAACTACAGAAAAAAACTTTGCGGCCCGACCTTTACGAAAACTTTATAACTCCCCGAACTTACCTAATTTTCGGCAATCTCCAAG